GAAGGAACCGCAACGCTCAAGAAGACTTTCGAGGCCGCCAGCTCCCAGGGATTCGTACAAAAAGAATCAAGCGTCGCATGATCAGGTACGGGCAACTACGGTATTTCCAAACAAGCCTCCTGTACACTAGAAGATGCCAGGATAGTATATGAGGTAAACTGCTCGCGAGGAGACGGCTACATTGGAAAAAGCGGAAAAAAACTGAAGAACCGGGTCTGTGAACACATGAGCAGAAAATAACAGCTCTGCCGTTATTTAGCATAGAATACTAAAGGACCATGTCGTATGATATAATGTAAGCAGCATCGCCATCTGGCGAGAAAAAAACGTCTTGGAGGCAGTCAGGTGGAATAGAAAAAGCAAGATTAACAGTAGGAAGGAACGTAGCAGATCAGTTCCGCATGGCTTCCTCTGCTATATGATTAGATTATCAACGAATGCCCGCTATTGGAAATTGCGTCTCTCGTTACAAACTCATCAACAGTTTCTACCTCAATAACAACCGCATTCGAAATGCTCTGAGTAAAGCTACAACCTCGCAACCAAAGGGCAGTTCGACATCCATAAAAACGGAAAGGCAATTAAACCAGGTTTCATCTTACTCACAGATGGCTCGCCGCCTTGAGAGGTAAGTTCGTTGTAGATTTTTCTCCGCATTCAACGGTGACTGGTTGATCGATCCCTGAATCCGAATTAATCCATCTAAATAATTAAACGAAACAATGCACTGTAAATTAACTGATATTTATTTTTGAACTCCAGTCCAAAACCAGAGCCTAGATCCCTTGAAAGCTCCCCTCAAAGAGCAATTACTACTTTGAAAAGCATGAGTTTTTCGCATCTTAAAAATTTTAAACTCCTCTATATGAAACGAAACTTGGCTAAGCTTGAAATGAAAGGTCTTTGATCATCGCTTGCACTCGGTGCTAATGCAAGGATGCCAAACATGGACCATAAACCTTAAAGTTGCTCACCAACTGAAAACGACGCAACATCACATGAAAATGCTTTCTTAAGGAATAACAAAGAGAAATAGCTTGAGAAACAAATGAGTAAAAACACAAACCGAGTCTTCAATGTTATTGCAAGACCGAAAGAGGCGAAATCGCGACGGAAGGGCACATGGTCAAGAAGAACCGACCGTTCTGAACCGAAGAGAATTTGAAATGGATTACAAGAGAGAATAAACGGTAGGTGGCAAGACCTCACCTCTGATCGATGACAGGATGAATTAGAGAAGTTTACTGTAGCAACGAGGGTAAATGTCGCGGAAGACAGAACCATGCGGCAAAATCTTGGAGAGACCTTCCTCCAAATTTGAATTGAAAAGGCGGATGATTATGATATTTAAAGCTGCAAAGTGTTCGCAAGAAAGAAGGCGGTTTCGAGAAGAGTTTAAGAAAATACGTGAGAACGGACGGAAAAATGTTATCAACTTTCTTGAGAAGACGGCGCCAGTGCGGCTCAAACTACCGTTTTCAAAATGCGCATATGAGTGGTCACGTGCAAAGGTAATATTCCATTTTTTTGTGATAATGAATAATCGAAAATGAAAGCCGATAATGGCGCTCGTGACTTACATGACGGCGGCCAAGGCTTTGATTTCCAAACTCCACACATTCAACAGACGTTCACGATAACGCGATCGCTCTAGCCGTCGTCATCGTGAAAGATCTGCTCCGGTCAGCCACGACAAAGCTAGAATCGATAATACATTGTCAAGTCGTCTCGTTCTTCGTTCTTGATGCTCCAGAGAGGGAGAAAAAGAAAGCGGTATGATCTTGTGGCTGTTGTTTGCCGGAACTCGACAGGACTCGGCTCTGTTTCCGCCCAAAGGCACCTCTGTGTCTTCTCTTGTTTCGACGCGATTCAGCGCCCGTGTACAACTTTGCTGCAATCGTTTTACCTCCACGGCGAGTCTGAAGCCCACTCTGAGGTACGGCTTCCTTTGGCCGCGGTCAGCTATGCAGGAATATAGCCGCGAATGCCGCCAGCCACGCGTACATGCATAAATAATTGCGATCAATAATGACGCTTGCGACAGAAAATTAGATATTCTTAAAAGAATTAAAGCACACCGTTGAAACGTGCGTTGATACCCGAAGAGCCTCCGCTAAGCAGCGCCGTCAAAGAACGTCACTCGAACTTAGGATGGTGAACGAGACACAACCGATGCACCATGCATAACATGCGGCGGAAGGATGGGTCTGATTAGCGAGGCTTTGCCGGATTAGAAATGTATGTACAGGCCATTCTAATCAAGATCAATATTCTAAGATTAGCATGTTATCACGGTACCCAATACATTGACTATCATTATGTAACTAAAACAATATCGCATGACACTACGCTTCTTCTGCAGAACACGTACTAGTTTAGATAATTATATCCGCAGCATATACTGCATAGATGCTTCAGGCGTATGCAGCTGATATTCTAATATGCACCTACTTGATTATCCTGAAAATCAGTAACTCTGGAACCAGGATGAGATTTTCTGCGGTCTCCTAAAAGACGAATGAAGTACATGTCTGCAATATGAAGTTTTATGACTATTAATATTTTAATTGCCTTCGATTATAATAGAAACTTGATCGTGCATAATTACATATCATTACTCCATTAAACATTAATGTACTCTATCTAATTAATGTTAATTTAGTCTACTTTTGCGCTGCCTTCGCGAACAAAAAAGAAGAAGCGATCTGGAAAGTGAAGGTGAGAGTGAATTTACACAGCGGTGCTATAGAAACTTGCTTTTAAACAGTTTGCGAATGCAAGCTGAATGTGAAAGCACAACGACGAAAAACAGCCCAGAACACACTTTTCTAATGCACAACGATAAACATAACTGCCGAGCTTCTGCCTGTGTCTCATGA